GAATGAATGGCGTTTTATTCTTGAAGTACTCTCACTCGAAAATATTATCGCTAATTTGACATCAAAGTTGCCGCTATCACCTAACTAAAAAGGGTATGGTCCCCGAGTTATGAAAGTATTAATGCACTCCGAACTGATGGCAGAACATGTGATCAAACTGTGGCAAAAAGCGTAAAATGCTGTCATCCGTAATTCCTACGAGACATTAGGCACCGGGCCACAGATAGACAATGTAACACTGAGCAAGCAACTTACCGATGCAATTCTGTCACCATGTAGCTCAGAACGGAAACAGTGCCAAAACACACCGACAGTTTAAGGAGGACAGGATGGTCACCACCTTGTTAGCACTGCGAGCTTCTATACAACAACCTGAACTGGCCCTAGGGCCTGCGTCATCGGTCCTACAAAAAAGCGACCGACAACTGACCCCACAAGAGTAGGCATAGATCCTCACCGGAAACCAGCATACACAAATACGCTGCTGACCACCGATGCCCTCAGATGCTTGTATACCAATGCACAAAGTCTTCTCACCAAGCTAATCGAAATTGTATGTGTCAGGTCTCCACTCCTCGGGACTTAGTTATGGTCCCCGAAACATGGCCGATCACGGAGATCACGGATGCTGAGATTGCACTGCCCGGTATGACTTCCATACGAAACGATCGACCTAGCAGAGGAGGGGGAGTGCTCCTGTATTATCGATCCGACCTGCATGTTGATGTCACTGAGGACACAGAAACGCAATTCGTCGACTCTTTTTGGTATCGTACGCACCTAGACGTGATGTATGTTTACTATCAATAGTTTACCACCCTCCAATGTCCACTTTGAAAATGGATAAATGCCTAGCTACTGCGATGAAACGAGTACTAGCACGACCATACAGTCACGTCTTTCTGGTGGGGGGAATTCTAACTGCACGCAATCGAAGTTCCAGCATTGCACGACGAACAAGTCAAGGCGGATTTGCAAGAGGTGATCGCCGATGTATTTCTGTACAACCATATCACCTCTCCCACGCGATTCCGAACGGGTGACACACTCTCTGTTTTGGACCTTGTGTTCTCTAACGAGAAACTAATGGTCGACACCGTGACCATAGATGCATCACTTGGACGTAACGATCACGCGATGTTGCTCTTTCGTTACATCTGTTACTCGGAGTACATCAGTGAGAACAACGTGAAAACCAATGTCGTTACACATTACGATATACTGTCCAACCTCGTCCAAGAAACCGACTGGTCCTTTCTGGCCGAGAAGCCGCCCGATGTCGCCTGGATGTTGTTCGTTACCCAGTTCACATAGCTAGTGGCAAATGCGGCAGAAAGCAAGGTCCTTCGCCCGAAGCAAGCGAAATAATTCCTGAGGAGCCGTACCAGAAAATTCATGGCCTTAAGGGATTCAGCCCGGTGAGCTTACCAAGTCTGTCCAAGTAACCTGACCTGGGGTGCTTACACAACTCAAGGAAACGACTGCGTCAAGTCGATCCGCGAAGACATACTTCAGCATCAACAGAACTTAGCGGCTAAATTCAGTACAAATCCCAACTTACTGTATGGCCACGTCAACAAGCTCCGTAGAGTGCAGCGCGGGATCCCGGCTTTATATTCAACGGATGGTCTTGCGCAAACCGCACACGATGCATCCAACATGCTTTGCAAACACTTCACTCATACTTTCCGGAGTGAATCTTCATTACATCCGTTTTTACACAGCTTCCATCGCCACCAGGGTTAGACCACGTATCGTTCACTGCAGCCAATGTGGTAAAAACGCTAATTTCATTGCGCGTGCACAGCTCCACTGGCATGGACGACATCAAACCGAAGGCATTGAAGTCAGCGGCCATGAACCTTGCCGAACCATTAGCTCGGTCCTTGCAACGTTGTCTCGACAAAATGCAGTTTCCGACAATGTGGATACATGAACTAGTCACCCCTAGTTAAAAAAGTACTAATCGTTCGGAGCCCTCGAACTACCGTACAATCAATCTCCTCCCAGTTTTAGCCAAATTAATGGAACTTATAATTACAGAGGCGCTCATGGGATATCTTAACAGCAACAACATCCTAGTGTCACAGCAACACGGATTCCGCCGAAATCGATCATGCACTACAAACTTTCTGCTAGCCCGAGCAAGCTAGACAGAGTCAGCCGATGCCAGAGTGGGAGTCAACTTTGTCTACCTGGACTTCTCGAAAGCGTTCGGTCGTTTGGACCACCGCACTCTTCTTAACAAGCTTCGAAGCTATGGAATCCGTGACCCTATACTCGGTTGCATCGGCAACTTCCTCGCTCCACAACGTAGTGCGACCAAACTCGTTAGAGGATTGTTTCATCTCTCCTACCAACGCAGAATGCAGTCCGTGAGATTGTACAGTGGTGAATATCCACGTCCGCGAGATGACCTAATCATGGGCTATTTAATACTGATGAACCCAACTAACCCATGTCGCAATCTGTTGCAGCTGAGCCAAAATACCAGCATGAGAGGCCATCAGCTCAAACTGGCTACGCACGACAGTCGACTTGATTGTCGACGTAAAATTTTCTTCCTCCATGTGTCCCGTGCATCGAATGCCCTTCCAACTCACGCTATTCTTGCCCCTACATTAATCCTTTTTAAACAGCGCCTTGATGAAATGCTTTCGAACTTGCATTACTTGATAAAGTCCGTTCCACTTGAAGGGCGAAACAACGCGAACCTAACCATGTGCTTAACGGCCCTCTCCGCAACCTGGTGGTGAGGATACATGCAGAAGTGTAAATGTGATTAGCTTGGATGTAGTTAAACTGGATTAACATACCACATCTGTCAACTGAAGAAACAAACGAGTGAGCGTTGTCGTCTCCTATTTTATTTCTCACGCACTTACTGAACTAATACAGCTCTCTATATTATTTTGTGTGTGCAAATCCCATTCCCACTTCAAACTATCATTATACAGTAATGCATTTAACTCGGTGGACGCTTGAAACAACGATTTACTTATTCTATGTTCCTTCAAATTTTAATTTTTACTCCAACCATCCTACGGGACTTGTCATGCACATGCGATTTTACCCTTGACAAATCATTGTTCACTATCCATTGTTCATCGGAATAACTGGGATGAGGGTGCTACCCTGTTCTCTGCACAGTAGTAACATGTAAGTCACTGGATAGGGAGCGGCGCTATACCACATCTGGACGTTGCCGTCCACAGTAGCTCAGCGGCCTCAACCACGGACTAGCAACAGTCGAGTTACGGGTTCGAGCCCTACCAGGGTCAGTTGGAATGCGCATTGCTGGCGAGTCCCGAAAGCAAGAAACGCGCGTACAGTGCTGCTCCGGACGTGTGGTGGCTGTCTGAGTGAGTCTAGATGTGAGGAATATCTGCCTATATCCTTCAATTCCTCCTGCTGCTATGTAATTAATGATTAATTCAAAGTAAACTGAAGTCTCAGTATAGCTTGCGTGTCGCAACCCAACCACCCCTCGGATATTCCACAGTCAGCCTGCACTGCATCTTTTGGTGCTCAGCGGCGGAAGACGTACAAATTTTTGACAAATCGGGACAGAATGTTGTATTAAACAGGGATCATTTCATGGGACTAGTCAAGCGGAATGAGCACATTGGATCCGAGATACGAACTGGACAGCTAGTCGGGGGTGAAGTGTATAGACTCCGCATTCATATGCACTGTGCATATGTACACATTTGCGCGGCGATGTCGGTTGGTTGCTAACGCTTAGCCACGTTGAACTGTGTCTCCGACGATTTTGTCTTACTGAAGTCTGTTTTGGCCGCCCTATGATGGCTGCAGTGCCAGGGCAATCCACATTTGGATGTCGCCTACAAAATATTGCACACCTGAGACCACGGCCAGCCGCAGCTGAATTTTTAGCCAATTTGCACCCATTTTACCTGTGCTGTTATGTAGAGCTCGCACAGCTCCGCGAAAAGTGTACACATTTCGCCCGAACTCACCTCAATCATAGGGTCACTACGCCGTGACTAAGGGTGTGCAGAGAACAACGGATCCCTCCTCCTGACATTACTGCGCATATCGCCCTAAGCCGCATTGAGCTGGGATCTCCACCACTTCCATGACCTGTCTTTATGGTTTATTCATTACGCTGCTAGGAAAATTTAGGTGTAGACGGCATTATTTGCCTTTGGATGCTTCAGTCAACGAACTCTTGCTATCGGTCAGTATTTCTATTATGGATCTCGGTGTAGTCGCACAAAGTTGCGCGTTTGGTCCTCAGTCTCAGCGGCTAGGTCGATTGGGCCGCACTGATCCGAATTTCATTGGCTACTCTGCGCGTGGGGTAAAATCATTGAAAAGAGTTCCGTATGTTCCGACTAGAAATGGAAACAACTAGGACGTGTTATAACAGAATGCACGGCTTGGGGCGGTCGGTAACGAGCCACCGTGTGCAGGGCGAAGCTATCCCACTGTTGTTCATATACCGGTTGAACTGTTCGCTGAGGTTGACAAAATTTGTTGTCGATGAGAGGGCCTCTCACCGATGCTCCTCCATGCTCCTCTACGCTACTGCATGCCACACAACTACGCACTGATTGGTGACGAAACGTTTGCAACCTAATTGCCAAGCTCAGCGAACAGTACAACCGCCATCTGTCTCATTTAGTCAACACTAGACAGATATTGTGTGCATACTGTGTGGCAAGTGCTGTCCTGCCCCCCCCCTTAGGCACATGAATCGGTGAGATCCATTAATCAAGCTGATGAACAAATGTGGGATCGGCTTATGTATAAGCGTCTCGCTTCACTGAGTATACCTGAATTTCACAAGTATTCGCCTTTTTTATTCCATCTGTACTATCGACAGGAAAAAAGTGACCAAGGTGAAACACGAAAAAATTTCAACTGTGTCGATTATGTTACCCGTAGCAAATCTCACCCACCAACTTAGAAGAGTGTGAAAACACGCGGCATAATGTCATGGAAGTGATTCATCTCTTTATCTGTCATCTTTGTAGCATCTCTCATTCTGTTCTGTGCTGTGAAAGCTTCGTCACTGGTACAGGAGTTGATTTTGGCCGAACTTCAACACGAATCGCCGAGTCACAGAGTTAATGCTATCCTCAGGTAAGCCGCACTAAGTGTCTAACTCGAATCCGAAACGCTACTATGGTACAACTTGCTCATTTTCATCCGTTCTCATCTCAGTAGTAGATTGTTAGCCCGCTTTTCTTTCTTATAATATTTCCAGCACTGCAGTTCGCACCTATTGAACTTGTACTCAAATGACTCGATCCTTCAGTGTAGGGCTCAACCTCTGAACAGGTCTTTCTCAGTATGTTGACATCAAGTGTAGCACGGCTGGGCATGTGCGTCACGCGCACTGAGTGAAATGCACTGTGTGGGACAGTTCCGGCACACTACCGGCCCTCAAAATAACTAAGCGACCGCTAAGAATTGTCGAATGGTTCAAATATCACTTCTGGTGTTAACATCACCTAGGCGGTTAGCGATCTCATCGGTGAGAGGCATCTCGTCCTCCGAAGCCTTAGTCATCTACGAAATAGGTGACCTACAAGGTCATCAAACAAGGACAAGTGAAACAACGCTACGCTTCTGCCTGGATGACTGTGCTGCTTGGGGATGTAGTCGCTGTGATCTACATAGCGTTAGTGGAAGAAACTGGAGAACAATGTCGTCTAACTTCAACCGTCTAACTTGTTTGGGTCAAACATTTCCCTACCCAGCAGTCGTCTCCATCCACGTGCATTGCTTGCGGCGGTCGCACACGTCGGGTGAAATACCCATCTGCACATCCGGTGATGTACGGAGCAAACACCATCACCTCGATTGAACCGATTAATCTGGCGTATATACGCCGAGGTTGATGTTGCATTCATGATGCGTCGACACTGCAGTTGGGCCAAACCGACTTACAGTTAAGCCAGATCTTTTAATCTTGATAAAAGTCCTCCCACTCTATTTGGTTTGTTCAATTATGTTATTTTGCTGTATATTCTGTGTCAGGTTTGCGTGTTTGCTTTCCTTTAAATTCTATGTTAGTCGTTTGAAATACCCGATGTGGTTTCGCCTGATGTGAATGTTGGCAAGGTACAAGGTTTCTACCTGTCTAACACTCTCCACATCGAGTACTAGCTCTAGGAGACTGTGAATCGTTGCTGGGGGAACGGGGTTCACGGTTCTCGTGGCCGTGCTAGGCTCAAAGAGGGGTCCCATCCAGTGTGGAGCTGGCTACGGCCCAGCCACCGCCTTGTGTACGTCTGATATGCATGAGTTCCTACATAGATAGTGAGGAATGCTGCTGTTGTGCATGTTGAAGGAGTGTGGGTCGACTCGGTTGAGGAATCGTGGCTCGCATCCACATACCTCCCGGTGTTATTCCTTCGGGTTTACACTGGAAATGGGGTGTGTGATTGGAGCTGGAGGTGGTGTCGTGCAAGCCACCTATGGTCTCTCTGTAGGCGCATGTGTTCTGTGACTGTCGTACGGAGGCCACAATGAGGGGTAAATCAGGAACCGGATGTCGCCAACCAAATACGCTGTCACGTGGAAATGAGGCACTAAATTAGTACTTTCGTTAAGGGACTTCAGCATGGTGAAATACATATGACTTCACATCCAACCTCTTACATTTAAGGCTTACTTCATAGGTCCAATTGTATGATATTTCAGTCTTACGCATAACTCACTCTTGTTTCTAGACCATTCTCGGTTTTCATACACGCACCCTTGAGATTAATGCGTACGGAATCTGTCGCACTGCGTTACTGCTAACATCGAGGATTAACTGAACTGAACTGACCAGTGGGTACACGATTGACAACCCTCGTTAAGAGTTATGCCGATTCGCCTGAAGTTCATGCATTTGTTTTAGGGAAAAGGAATTTGTAGCGTTTTATTTCATATTGGTCTTGATCATCAAAAATAAGACGTACAACTGAACACTCTTGTCATATTTGAACTGACACGGACAATTTTAATAACGCTGGTGCATTCAAACTCATGGACACCTCGCCTCGACTTGTAGATTTAGAGCTCTCTGGACTCACCGTTACCACGTCTGGTCCCATTTGGAGGAGGGCGCTCCCACGCAACTCCGGGTCCCTCCGCCGTCCATAGAATACGTTCTCCCGTCTCCTACTCTGGGCTACCCAGGCTACGAGGTCCCGGATCCGGCTTGGCAGATTCGTAAAGGCACCTCTGCAGAAGAGGTACAACTGAAACAAAATGAAGCGACAGTAAGCGATAAAACCTTTTTGATCCTATGAGCAAGGTAGTTCTGCAAGCGTGGTTGTTGTAGCAACTGTGATTTCGACCACTTCTCTAACAGAAAACGTTCGTCACCGCCTCAACTTCCAGAAGAAAACAGCAACAGGAGCTGCTTGCACGTGCGATTGCGGCCGAAACAATGCGGCGTCGTGATGACAGGCGACGGTTCCATTTGACTACATGTTCAGTGCTTGAAAGAGCAGCAATCGAGCCTGCATTCAGCAAGGAACATCGAGATGATGGGCTGCAGGATGATGGTAAGCTTTCTTTGCGAATTTGGGGAACAAACGATCAAGTTTCGATTTATGTCTACACCGGCTTCTCGCTTTGCTAAGTTGCAATTTATTACCAAGGGTTAGCTATAAAACTCCTTTCTTGGTTCATTATCAGCCTGCCACACTGCAGCTGAACCTTTAAGGACAGACACATGATGGTGAAACGCGGTGAGTCAGTGCATCGGAAAGTCACTAAGTGATTGGTTTGGTCAAGATCAGGTCGACAGGATAGCATGACCGTCACATTTGGTCCTAGTGGCCTGTGGCCTAGTTTAACAAATTTGAAATATGAATTTCCCTTTATAATTCCAAAGAAGAAGATCAGTAGACAAAGATTGTGGGATGAAATTGTCATTACGTGCATACTCCTCAAACACTACACAAGCAACTAAAAGGAATGCAAAACAAGGTCACATGAAATCAATTATAGCTCACTTGTTTTCCGATTGGTGTGTTGCACACTACCACGCTTGGCTTAATGGCACTGTCAGCTGTTTTTGTACACATAGCGGTTGGCGCTCTCGATGGATCACAGTTGTCTCTAGTAGCCTGAGTATTTGAATCCTTTGACTGCGCATGAGGACTATGAATGACTCATCTGGGTTCACTTGGTGACCGGTGATCATTAAATATCTCGTAATTGCGAAGGCAACTTTGCTTCTCCATTCACCGCGTGCGATCGTCGCATTTTCCATGTGTTCATTGATTCGAGCACCCAGACTTCGAGTAGTGCGCCCAACATAGCTGCCACCACGGCTACACGTGAATTTGTATAAGCAACGGGACGTGCACTGCTTCGACACAGGCGTCTTCATTGAATACTTAAGTAATGGTCTTGTGGTCACCAACAAGCGTAACTCTGCTGCGTTGTATGTCTTTTTCATTGAGGCGCTTATCCTTTTAGCATTTACTTGCATGATGTGGACATCTTTGAAAGTCAACTCAATGAACACCGGTTTCCTTTGAACCGTTATCTCTCCATCTCGTTTCATCGACTCACTGTAGCGCTTTATGAATTGCAGTGGGTAACCATTAGTTTGCAATACGTCAAACAGCACTTCTTTCTCTGCCTCCAGTGTGTCAATGGTGCAGATGTTATTAGTCCGATGGAACAACGTTCTAACTAAAGAGCGCTTGTGATGGATTGGCGAGAAACACTTAATATATGACTATTGACCTGTCCAAGTCACTTTCCGGTAGACTGAGCTTTTTATCGAGCCATCTGGTCGTCATGTGAGCAGTATGTCAAAGTATGGGAGAGTACTGTCGTGCTCAGGGTGTTGGAGAGTACTGGTGATTACGTTTACTGTCGCCAAAAACTTACAGCTGACCGCTCATGTGCGGCGTCCGGATGCGCAGTAGTTGGGCTGTGAAAGGCATCATGCAAGATCAACCAAATGCGACAACACTGCATTGTCATTCTTTCTCAGGTCACTGCCGAGTCAAACCAAGCAATGTCTTCGAAGTCCTGTTGACAGACGGCTGGTTGTTTTCCCAGCATACTTAGTTAGCTATGTACAAGAGAAATTGCGCCCACAAAAGAAACCCTGACTACGGTATCTCACTTTTAACTTGATGGTACACAACTTGGGTTGAGGTGAAGGCAGTAAAGTAATATCGTGCGGTGATAGTAGAAAGGCTTTGGGCGCACCGTTCCGTCACTACACCACCCTCAAGTGACAACGATAGGTACGTTAACCGCATTTCTAAAAACATATGTTTCACTTCTGACACTCTGGGTTACTTTTTCCGTGCATCCATTCCGTTCGAACGCGCTACGAATAAAGCTGAGTTGATTTGAAGTGGTGTCTTCTTTGCACGCCCTTCTGGCTGCCACCATTAGACTTCAGGTGATAGTTCTGCGGTGGTAGCTGGTAGGTCACATGAGCGAAATTAGTACGCGGCCAGTGAACTGTGAAGCCAATTACCACCATCAACGCAAGTAGAGCACGAGCACACAGACGGGATGAACAGCGGGAAATTGGTTTAGGTTATTGAGAGAAGAGCTCAATTTTTTTCTAGTCAAAGTAAGAGTGGCCCAGCCATCAGGGAACGAACGACGGTCGCAAGTCAATGAATTCAGGCAGCTGACTAGTTAGAATCAAATGGTAGAAGTGCACTACAGTAACATAGTGACCCTGATTTGTGTTCATCATAAAATGAGCCTTTGTTCCATAAAAACGGGTTTTCAGACCACTGTCCAGCTTTCATTTCGATTCTCCGAGGGCTATCTCAACAATTTTACACATGTTGAACTGAAACAAGGCAAGTTAAGTGAATCTTCTGTTCAATCCAAGTTATTCCACTGTGCATTCTTCGCATCGACCCATCTGGTATCCTGTGTATCTAGACGACAAAACTGTCACGAACTCGTTGTGTTTTAGTTTTCTACTAAAGATTTTGCTTTGCGTATTATTGCAATGGGCTTGTAGATCATCTATGCCCACTCAACTATCCGCGACATAAAATATGTTGTTTATATACCGGCTGCATGACACCAAAGTGCCTATAGATTCGTTCAGGCGCTTCTTCTCCATTTCGCTCACCAGGGACGCTCACGAGTAACGGCCCCCATGGTAAATCCATGACTGTTCCATCTAAGTGTCTGTACAGCTTCTCGTTAATGTGTAACCCGATGCTCCCGGGTACATTAGCAGTAGCTATTTCAACCGGCCTTGTGAGTTTGTTCACAGCATCTCCACCTAAATATGCATGAGTTCGAGAAGCGATCAATAGATTCCGCACTTACAACCCATCTCTTACTTTAATTTGGGAAATCTGTATTTGTACAGAGTAGTTGAGTGCCACAAGCTTTCCTTGCAAGAAGGCAAAGCAGCCTGTATTTTTCGAAACTGTAGGCCAGTTTTATGGCAGCTTGCGACTGCGCACCTCTTTAAACATTTGTTTCGCAGCGCATTATATTTATGTTCGCACATTATACTGTTTCCCCTTTGAATTTTCTGTCGCTTCCGTGACAAATTATTTAACGGTGGACCAATTCGTCAACCTGACCTTGCTAGAGTCACGTAGACTAGTAATTCCACAATCAAGATTGGCCTTTCTTCGACAGCTGCACGAATTAAGCCTCGTGTATGTGGACGTTGGAGAATGCCTGAGGCTAGTGTACTCTAGTCAAGCACGGTCACTTCCTAGTGTGTAGATGGTAGAAAGAGATTATTGAAGCAGCCGCATATAATTAATATCGGTGCTGAAATATTAACTAACCGAAGCAATTGCGCGCTGATATCTATATTGTCTTGGCGGTTGCACTTTATCGGCTTCAAATCATCTGGGCGTAGCCACCAAAATCAAATCACTTCCTCCGCAGGGTCAGACGAACTCGAAATATCACACGATAATGTTGTAGCGCCAACGACGAGGCCATGAAGCACAATCTTTATTGGCGCGATCACAAACTATGTCACCACTCACACAGGCGTACATTAATGAGTCGTTTCCTTCTCCCGTTGCACCATCTCTCCTGGTTTCCGTTCGCGACAGGTCCATGTACTCTTTGAGGTACGGGAAGAATAATTCTTTGTCCGTTTCGCCCCCCGTAGATCCACTTCCACGCTTCCCATTCTGACCGATCCGGAGTCATTCGATAGCTTATGCTTTGTTTGAACGTAGATGTATTGCACTGCTTTTGGTTGTTCCGGTAGGATACAATAACGGTGATTTTGGCCGATTTATTAGGTTCTCGACAAATACCATCCCCGTTTTGCTTGACTCAGGCTCACTACCGAGCGCCGCTCGTGTCACGTTTTCGTCTCTTTCCGTCAGGCCAGTGTTACTCCGTCTGTTCCCCCTCACTGTGTCCGTTTCCGTTTCCGTCCGATGCCACTTTAGTAGTCTTTCTGTCCTCCGGGCAACCCCTGTCATCCGCCTCCCTATAATGTATCAGGATTTGCTTTTCGTATGCATGATAGCATTCCGACAGTGTCCACTGACAGGAACTCCTCAGATGAGTGTCGAATCGGAGTTGGAACTCTGTCTACCATCTCATTTACTTTACTCATCAGACGTTTGGTTATGTATGACTCTTAAGGCAGTCTGGTATATTTCTTCACCATACGTGTTTGGTGTGATAGTAACGACAATGTAAACGGTTACGCGGTTCCCACTTCTGAAACTCCACCAAATAATCAGTGGGTCAAGACCGCCACCAAAATGAGCTAACTTTCCAGTGAAAAGTGAAACCTTTGACAGGCACACATTCAGGTAGGGACGAACTGATTGGGCTCGTTTACATGGCTTCATATTTGATATCATATTTGTTATACAGCTACCAATTCAGTAATGAGCACAGTGGCCAACTTAGCTGGCGGTACCACCGTTGCTGGGAATCCATCAGCTAGCAATACCATGCAAGAAGAATTCACCGCTGCAGTGCGACGCATGAGCATGGCACCGATCAATCGAAATTTGTCAAACCAAACGAGAAGCTCTTCGTGGCGTCAAGGCTCCATGCCATGGTGTCGCAGTAGCGCTTCGAATCACGATGGTGAGCGAATTCATGAACGTATCCCTCATCCTTTGCTTTGTATTGAATTTGACAACTGTCTCTGCCATACCTTATCTTTTCTAACCAGCACTGAAATACATCGCAGGTAGATCAGGTTTATTGGTAGCGGTGTTCCACCTCTACTTATGTTCATCCTTTCAAATGTATTTATCGTGTTAACCACACACTTTCTTCCCTTTTCGCCGGTCCGCGTAGAAGAGGATCGTAGGTATGCCGCTTTACCTGCACTATTTCCGGCTCAAGCACTGCAACCAGCTCAGCACATTTTCCCTTCCACTTTATGTGCTGCAACAATTCCCTTGATACATCTGTTAGACGACGCAGCCGTTGGTGAACAAGGTACTGCAGGTGAGTTGAGGAACCGTTCCACTCTCTTACCGGACCACTGACCTTGATGGTATAGCAGTTAGATATCACAAACTAAGTATGCCCAAATACACTAGCTAGATCTAGTATTACTAAACAGCCCACATCGGCCAACTAAAACAAATGAGGTAGGTAATGACCAACAATTCCCCTAGGACTTGGCGATGTTAACAATACTTTCTGCATATTATTTCGTAACTGGGAAACTTGCGTGAAATGTTTTAAAATACTGTTAAAACTTAGCTGAAAGTTGTTAATGAGAGAGCTGTTTACGAGCAATGTACCTGCGTTTTGCAAGATCCGTAAAATTGGTCATTGGTGAAGTAAGCGTCTGATCGTTGGAAGGCAGATAGTGTGAACCGCCAAGTTTCGTCTGCAGGAGCACTTGACCGGCTTGGAAAGTGAAGGCCAGTGGTGAAGCGGTCAGGTATGCCTCTCGAGAGCTCTATTTTATAGCAAACCTACGTCCATAAGGAATCTGTTTGCCGTCAGAAGATTTACACTGCTCCAATAAGACACAACAACGGGTAAATTACGGACATATCCTTACCGATCTGCGCGATACGGAAAAATAAGTAAGGTAGCGTAAGTGTTGGACATTAACTGACGATTCCGTGCGTTTCATATTACCAACTTATTGGCAAAACAGAGCAGATGCCACCCGGGTAGTTTATTGCTGATTCCTTAAGGTTAAACCATCTGATTTGATGCGTCACCACATCACGGCGTGAATAAGACTTTTCGGTGTGTTTATTGTCGTTGGTGTCAACTACACGGTTTTAAATAGCGTCCGGAAGGACCTTTTGCTCCAGACCTCAGTCATATGGCTGTCAAACCATTGCAGTTCCTTAGATTTATGTGTGGCTGTTTAGTCCGTGATGCCCAGTCGAATTTATGCGCAGTTTGGTTAGAGCATCCTCACACATTCAGTTACCAGTTGAACGAAATTAATAATTGTTCATCGCGGGCTATTTGAACATCTAAGTTGGCAAATGGCTCCTGCGCACTCCGAATCGTGCTCAACTATCGAACGCTTCCTCCAAAGTACATGTGGACCAGCACCTCGCATTTCATATCTCTAATTAGAGTTAGGATGACTATGTTTGTGTCCCTGTATTCGCCAAGGTCAACGGTTAAATATGATCTCTAAGGCTAAATCTGTTGGTTTGCTGTGTGTTTGTGTTTGAATTCGGACAGTAGATCGCATTCTGTTCAGTTTGTATCGGGTCAGTAAATTTTATTCTACACTTCAACATTTGACTAACTTTTGAATGGAGCTCAAGTTTCTTCATGGATGTATCTGCGCCCTCTAGCATGAAACGGAGTGACTAACACAAAGCAAAACGCTATGTCTCTTTTCAGTGAATTCAGTTGCCGAGTACTGTGTTTTCAACTGTTTACTGGAGGACACGAGTCTGTTCTTACGCTTCATTTTCGAGCGACTCACACGCACAAACTATAAAAACGAGCTGATATTCGTACTGCGTAAAATGCTCCAACGGCTTCCAGAACTGCCAATGCAAAGTGCTCATGCAATATTCAACAACCTGGTGAGTTGCATAACAGGGAATGTGGTGGTAATTCGACTTGTTTATCAGAAGCCAAATAATCACCTTTGTCCCGAGGCCGGATGGTAAAGTGCACGGTCCTCGGTCCCGAATATTGTGCTAATCTCCTTCGACTTGATTATGACCGCAATACATCTTTGCTAGGATGACAGACGATTAGGTTATGTCCAACATCTGGTAGATTGTATGATGACTGCTCGGTCACCGTTTCCACAGTTGGTGGACAGTCCAACAACACCACATATAATATATTCTCAAGAAACAGCGAAATGCGATCGTCTGCGAATGATGGAAGTGGTTTGAGGACAGTCTTTATCAAATCGTTAGCATGTCAGAGGTGCGTGGTGGTTAAGAATTGTTTTGAAGCCAATTAATGTAGAACAGTGGTTCTGAACATTTTTGAGGCGGTTACCCACAAATCGGGTTCAATACAAACAAGCACCCTCCAAAAATTTATTTTAAATAGCTAATTACCTTATAACTATTGCATTTTTTGCTTTAAATTGCGGAACCTTACTACTACTTTTAGTTACTTTCAGTAATTCAGAGAGAGCATACATTTACTTTTGAGCAAACACATTTATTTCTGATTAGTTCTAACAATTTCCGATATCTTTTGTTCTGTTTCACCTAATGCACATCGTAAGCTGTGCTTCCATTTCATTCAGTTCTTTGCTTTGTTGGGTGATCCCTGACCAAACTAAACGGATGTCAGTGGCTTCTCATTTGTTTCAACCAAGTTTTCCAAGTCTGTCCTGGAGGACAACTACCCACCGCCACTCTGTATCGATACATCCTGAACACTAATCGGCTGTTTTGTCCTTTCTACCTTGTGAACAATCGCTCACTCCTTTATATGGTCAGCCGACCTATGTCCCTACCTTAGTACTCGATAAACTCTGTAATTTGTTCTGGCGAACGACTTCCAGAATCAAAAGAACAGCGATCGACGAGCTAGCCGATAGAGGCGCTATCTATGTGCGCTGCTTTACAGGCTTGTATTTGTATTTTAGGTAATGAATTTTGTACCGAAAATTATCTATTTCACTGACCACTCATTAGGGATGTGTCAATGATAGCTGATCAAAAGTGATTAGGTAGTTAGTTCCATGTTTTATAAAGATGATTTTGTTTTTACTTTAGTTCGGCAACATATTGCTGACTCTATCCTCGTCCTTCTATTTACCTCACGTAAAATTCCATCTTACCCCTATGGGGGAAATTACCCCTAGATTGAGAACCACTGATGTAGAACAATCGCTTTGCAAGTTGCGATCTTCTGTTTCAGGTAGGTTACATTATGTTCCACGTACGTACACCGAACGCTGAGGCACCTGAAGCGATCGCCGGTGCTCTTGCCATACTTCACCTGGTAAGCGGGTTGCTAAATTGCAAATGTTAAGTTGCCAAACACTGATACGACCACGAATTATGTATTCTCGCGGATAAAATTCACCGCAATCGAAATACTTTGTTAAAGTTAGGAAGGTTAACTGGAGCGAGCCTGTTAGTGGAACCGTAAGCTTGGTAAACTTTTGCTAGTTGCCAAATTATCTACTTGGTTCCGAGTGACCAAAGCGCCATGGTGTCAGTAGGGTGAAAGGATATTACAGGCCAGGTACAGCATGTGCGACTGCAAACCTTCAATGTTACATTTGATAGAAAAGGATGTGCTTATTTTAACCGTAGAATTTTATAAAAATAAAGCACCATTTGCATTTTACATGAGGGTTAATTCAAGAAACAATTACCATTATAATACAACGAGCCAATATAATGCAGCACCGGGAAAGTGTTCCACTGGTTTGGAAGGGTTAGAATACACTTAAAACCTAGAACTCGGAGTTATTGATCCTTGGACTAAGATAAATTATAGTTATAATATTTTGGTCCCAGCTGCTCACAAGTTACGCAGCACAGTCTAGTCCGGAAACGCACCAGAAGCATTTCGCCCTATTGGGGCTCGTCAGTGGTGCGCATTTCCTCGGTCCCCTACTGGGGGATCGAATCCATAACCGTTAGAGGCAGATGCCAACTAGCCAGCAGCTTAAGCTACTGAGTCATGGGGGACGTCGTCTGGGCTACATAATTTGCAAACTAACTGGGATATAGCACGACCCATCTTCCACTGCCACACAGATTACTACCTTAGCAGATGACAGTGGCTAGCCTCCGAAGATCATGACTTCCTCTCAATAGACGTTACATCCCTAGCATTTGAAACTAGGAGAGGCTACATTTATATAATACTAATGAGTAGGAGCATTTTTGCTTTTTAATGTTTGCGTCCCAACAGCTCACAGGCTACATAGCACAGCCTTGTTGACAGGTTTCTTTCAACTTTCTTGACATTTCCAAAACGGCATACGACACACTATTGTAACTTTTAGTGTCAGCTTATATGCTGATTCTATATGATTACCTCGTACTTTTTCGCACAGGTTGTCCCACATGTGCAGAATGTCTACTTCAAGGATTTGAAACAAACCTTGAGGAGAGAGCAAATAGATGTGAGTTGTTCATGAGGTAGATCAACCCCATGCTCTGCACCTACTGTTCATGGGCATTTGTAAAATTCTCTTTTATGTAATGACTCGTAGCGGAGACGTGCCTTTGGTTTGATAATGCGGTCGGGAAAGCGGCAATCGACCGATACTTGAATATTACTTAACCAGAAACCTAGGCAGCTGGGGGTATTTTTGTTTCTGGATGCGCGCACGCACATAAGCCGAAAGTTACATGAGAAGGGACTGAAAATGTTTGTCTGCTGTAGACGATACATTGGTCGTCTTAATAAAAGTCTGACCTAACCGGTCGGTTATCCACTAGTATCCAGTGGACCCAACTTCATAGCTGCCTTGATAACATACACATATACCTGTTGCGGGTACGTCAAATAACTCCGCAAAGATGCTCCACCAACTCCGATGCCTGGGCTGCGAGACGCAGAGTTCAATTCCTGCGCATAACGTAGCAGGATTCAGCCACTCGTAATCGAAGTCGAGAGTGTAGGCCTGCTGACTCGCGATGGTCGGGGTACTGTTGACACGGTCTAGCTCGCAGTGACATTTCTTCAGCGTAATCTCCAATCTTCCGAGTGCGTGGAAGACCGTGGACACGGACAATTGGATCCCGTTCTCACAGCCACTAACGCAGCTGCGAATGCTTTCAGCTGTCTCTTCAACCCGCTGCATGACATCTGGAGTTCGCTTCTCCTTGTTGTTTCTTCCATAGTTGTGCCGAGTAGTGGTGCTCTCTTGCGTATAGGCATTGATGATAATGCATTGCTCTCGTTGATATCGGCGAAGCCAGCGGCTTCATGAGTGGTTTTGGGTGTGGTACCGATGGAATGCGGGAAAATCAGACGAAAGCCGAGCACGCACGACTGGTCCGATTCAGCGCAATGGAAAAACAGCAAGCTTCCTGAAAGCGGGAAAGCGGATTGGCCGGCAGTACGACGCGTGGGTGGCACACACCTGAGATCATGATGGCAACACAGGTAGTTGTGTCTAATAGCCAATCGTGGGATCATCGACTAAATGGACAATCAGGCGTCACCATGCAGTCTATCGGTGATAGCCACAGCGAGGCCCCGTGTAACCTCGAGCTCTGTAAGCGTGGAGGACGAGCACCAACCAATGGGATGTAAGTGTCTGTACAGGCCAGTGAACGGACAACGTGGAAATACTGTACGTACTCAATATATAACCAGGCATCTTCTTATTAACGACTGATGATCGCTGCTAAGACTTTTTGCTTGATTCTCAGAGAGCAATACGACATTGAGTACTAGTGATTTAGTGGTGAATGGGATGAGGTGTGATACCAGTGCGGCATTTCGTAGATCATGCAGCTACATGGTCATGAGCGTCACACCGTGCGGCCGCACTTTAACTCGGCTCTCCCTTTGCTTTCTGTGGCCACTCCAATTCTCCCCACACAATATTGTGTGTGCGCTCGTTCGAACCAGTTCGACGAGCTCTACTCAGTGCTTCCCAACTCTTGGATCTAACCTGTGTGGATTATACTCTTGCTCCAATTCCCAGTTTTCGGTATATTCTTTGCCTAATTCCACCAGTGTAACTACATCAAACCGGTTTTTCGGAAAAGCTTTTGGTCTCATTCGGAAGAAGCTGCGGAATCCCAAACTACGCAGCAACCATCCCTGCAAGTTGCAGCATAAAAAAGTTACAGGCTTTTTGCCCCGCTCATCAACTGAGCAGCTCTAGGGACGCTTATCAGCGCTCCAACTGCATCGTCGCTTAAGGCAGGCTGATTAACACGCTGCCGCTTTGTGTGGGTGTGTGTGTTCCACTGCGAGTCGATTGGTCGCTGAACCCGCCAGTCTGCGCGTTACGACCTCCATCTGCCTCGACCGCCTGACCTTGGCGCGGTTGAACAACTCTCAATTCGTGTGCGTGTTCTGACTTGTTTGGCTTTCACGCGTGGAACAGAGAACACGCATCAAGGTGAGCGCTTAGATAGGCTTTGCTGTAAACAATAAGAGGACGACTAGCATTCCAATGGTTCAACGTCGCCTATGTTGCGCAGACAACTGCAGTAAAGTCCTTAAGATCAATGTAACTCTTTCTAGCTGCCCTAGATCGTACTGTCCGCAATGTGTGAGCAAATCCGTCCAAGAAGTGAGACAGATAAAAATACTTGCTGACACAGTTTGGTTTTGCCCAACATGTCAAGTCATTCTAGTTGTCAAGTGTTTAGCTTTGCTCATGAAAAAGTGCGATAGGATGACTGAGATAATCCCCATTTTATAAATACTAAGATCGATCCCACGGAGGTAAATATGGCCACGATAATACCTCACACAGCCAAAGTAAGCTCTGAATCTAAGCCGAAGAAGAGAGCTAGACGCTCCAACCGCACTACGGCGTCTGTGACTAAATCTACTGGGTCACCTCACTCCCATAAGTGGACAAGCCTCAAACATGCCTGTTTCCACTTCTCTAACCATAGACGCTTCACTTGGAGATTAAGTCATGACACCGACAGCTCATAAACGCCTGGCAGCCTTGGCAAAAGTAAGACCTTACAGCTCTTGAACTGCCACAACGAATGGCGGCCACGAACGTGAAGGGCTTGTTTTATCTCCCTTACCTATCGAGGTTGAAAACTTTCGGGGTCCACGGTGAGCAATATCGACGCCTGCGTGTCTAATTGATAATGACTTATATGATGCTGAGGAATCCAACCACTTTTGTCGTCACGTACTAAAGCTGAATGGCAATACCACACTCAGAGGACACCAGCTAAAGCTGGCCACACAACACAGTCGGTTGGAATGCCGCCGGCATTTCTTTTCCCTTCGCGTATGCCAACACTGAAACGCTCTTCCCACATACGTTGTTTCTTCCCCCAAGATAAAAGCATTCAAAAAACGTCTGGATGATTCGCTCATCCACTTACATTACGCTATATAATCAGTGATGTCTACTTCAACCAAATGCGACCAAACGGTGCTCATTCTCAGGTTTTGTGCTTTACTACTTACACGCTGTTGTGGTGGAATATCGTTCGGATATACTACCACTGGATTCATCAATTACATCAGTCCAAGAAAGAGGCGCATGAGTGAGCGTTGTCGTTTCTTTTGTTTTTAAGACCTACGTTCCCCATATTACTCTACAGTACCAATTCAATACGTATTCTAAAATATTTTAATGAACCAGGGCATCTGAATCGCTAGAAGTTTAAATTGACGGTTTACACTAATCTTTGCTTTCTCTTCAACTCTCCTACGGGATTTGTAAAGCAATCGTTTTGTTACCTGTACTATATGCTTGTTCATTGTTCAATGTCCTGAGTAGGGCTCAGTTGTTCCCAGTGTAGTTTGTGCCGTCGTGCGGTGACGGTGACGGCTGGGGTTAGCTCTGGTGCGGTGTGCGCAGATTCCGAGTAGCTATGTGAGCTCCACAACAACATTACATCAAGTTATACACGGTAGTCGCGGAAAACGCCTGATGCCAACTGAAATGTACCTTCATATATGCTATAATGTGAACTTACACACGAATCTGGAACCTTTTATCCAACAGAAGCATCACCGTTCCGAAGGTTCCACCGCGACTAGAGCCATATTTGGTACTATGTCGACTCTAAATTTTAGAGTCTACCTGAATCGTATGTGAAGCAAAACGGGTGGCTGCCATATTCCATTCTGCTCAGCTAGTATTCCGAGCTGGAGTAGGTTGGATGGGAAGCGTGGGCCTGCATAACGCATCAGAACAGTACAAAACTGGCGGAGCACGCAAGAAATTAATATGCTTGTTATCCACGTATCATTACAGAAGTAACGGGTGTTTGCATGGTAAAGTAGGGTTTCGTAATCCTCTATGAACCTTCTCGTGACGCGCAGTGTTAGGGTGTTCCCTGTGGTCAGACATACTGGATGGTCATGGTAATTTCCATAACATTTTTAACAAATACCTTGTACTTATTTGGCTGATGCATGCCGATTCCCATGTCAATCGCGCTTGCGTAGGCGATGCAACAATCCGCCGTGTGCAAATATCCAAGTCCGTGTACCTCTCCCTCTGCGATTGCGTCACGCCAGTTAATGCAAATGAACACTAACTGCTCAACATTTGTGCCAGTGCTGAGCACATGTGACACTGTGGCTGTCGAGCCGCACATGGGGCTTATTGTGTCCAAGCCTTAAGATGGCTAGCGACCGGTCACATTCTGGTGATTTGACCTTGCAACCACCACGCTCGCCTGACCGATGTGCGCCGCTCTCAAAGCTGGAAAAGTACAGAACGCTAATCAACCCACTGGGTCACGTAACGACACCACGTTGAAGGGCAGAAATGCGAATCCAAAAAGGCTCCAAGCGAAAGGCATTTGCGGGTTAGGAGAACGTCATCGAGTAGTAAAATCAGTCTGGCTTGCTGGCGCTATTTAGAATGGTATCATACGAAATGTGCAAAGGTGTCCCAACAACAGGTACGAGAGCGAAATAGCTCCCAAGATGCACTTTGGTCCTGTACTGCGTGCTCCACCATCCCATTCCTTAAGTGCTTGCTTGTACTAGCTCGGTAGTGCGACCGGTTAACCGCAGAAGCCGAGCAGAGGATAAACGATAAGATTACTTTAATGGAAACGAGTACCCACCACGGAAGCGTAGCGGCTTCTAAGCAACGGAATGCTGCACATTCCGCTTCCCCTGAACCACAATCAGCCTAGTCCCCATCTCCGTTGTCTTCTCCAACTTTGGTAGAACGCCAGGCGAAAACTGACCGTACCAACGAGAGTCAAACAGTACTCACGGCAACGAAAATCAGGCACCACTCGAAACGTCTGGTTAAGCAAATTCCACAAGAGCTGACATCTAGCATTAACAAGGATGAATCAGCCAAACACCAACCCTCGGTACCTGATGCTCAAATGCCTCTTGTCCAGACAAAGCCCCCTGAAACATCAGTTACATATGCAGAGATTGGTGCAAAGGTCCACCGAGAAGCCGCCGTTGCGGTCTCTTCTGTTGTCAACACCG